CCGCAATCTGCTAGTCGATTACTTCAACGAAGACAACAAGATCAAGCGCGACGTGATCCTGGAATCGATTCTCACGCAAGAAGGCGCGGTGCCCGAGAACGTGGCCACGATCATCGCCATGATGAAGCCCCCCTACCCCACGCCTACCGGCGAAGCTAGCGAGCCGGGCTTGTACAAACTATCCATTCCAGGCATCGACCCCGACCCGGAGTACACCTATCACGTGCAACTCCCGCCGGAGTACGATCCCTACAAGCGCTATCCCGTCATCGTCACGCTACACGGTGGCAGCACCACCGCCCTTCAGCAAATCGACTGGTGGGCCGGCGTTCGCAACGACAAGGGAATGCGATTGGGGCACGCCACGCGACACGGCTACATCGTCGTCGCCCCCGAGTGGGGACGACAAGGACAGAACGAGTACGAATACACGGCCCGTTCGCACGCCCTGGTGCTGCATAGCCTCCGCGATGTCTGCCGGCGCTTCTCCGTCGATACCGACCGCGTGTATCTATCCGGCCACTCGATGGGAGGTAACGCCGCCTGGGACCTGGGCCTCGCTCACCCCGACCTTTGGGCCGGCGTGATTCCCATCGTCGCCACCTCAGACAAGTACTGCACCCATTACTGGCCCAACGCCGAACACGTGCCCTTCTACATCGTGGGCGGAGAGTTCGACGGCGGGAAGTCGATCCATAACGCCCGCGACTTAGACCGTTACATGAAACGGGCCTACGACGTCACAGTGGTCGAGTACCGCGGACGCGGCCACGAGCATTTCTCCGATGAAATCCTCCGCATCTTCGATTGGATGGGCCGCAAGAAACGCAACTTCTTCCCCGTCGAATTTTCGTGCAACACCATGCGACCGTGGGACAACTACTTCTGGTGGGTTGAAGTCAGCGGATTCCCAGAACGTGTCGTCGTCGATCCTAAGGAGTGGCCCGCCCCCCGCGGTACCCGCCCCATGCTGGTCGAAGGCCGCATCAGCGGGCGCGACACCATCTACGTAAAGACCGGTGCCGATAGCATCTCCGTCTGGCTCTCCCCCGAACTGGTCGACTTCACCCAGCGGCTGAGCCTCAAAGTCAACGGTCGCGAAGTATCGCTACCCGATTCGTACCTCGAGCCCAAGGTGGCAACCATTCTCGAAGACGTCCGCACCCGTGGCGATCGCCAACATCCGTTCTGGGCCCGAGTCGAAGCCGGCAAGTAACGCCACTCGCTATCCGGTGGCATCATCACTGGCGCTCAACTCCCGCTCCCAGATGCGATACTTCTTCGCCTGCGCGATGAAACCATCCAACCCGCTTGCGTCGGTCCCTACGTCGACCAAACCCTCATCCGCCCCGGTATCGACGGCGGCCTTGTCGAACAACGGGCCCGACGGCTCGCTATAGCCAATCACTTTGCAGTGAGCGAACGCATCGCGTATCCAGTTGATCGCGTCGGGGTTGGCAATCAACTTCTCCACCGCATCCTCGGGCGTAGCAACAATCACGCAATCGAACAGCACCGAGGGAGCTCCAGCCAGGAAATGCTCGGGCTGTACTTCCTTACCGCCACTGGTTTCGATCGGCCCAGCCTTAGGGGCAATCACTTCAACCATCGCCCCCTCGTCCTTAGCTGCCTTGACCACCGCATTGAATAGCTTCGAGTTCACCCCCGTGTCCGTGAACAGCCCGATCTTTTTCCCTTCGAGCGTTTCGGACGCCTTGGCGTATTGCGAAAGCGCCTCCGAGGGTTCAGGGTCACGCGGTTTCACGGCCGGCTCGATCTTGTCAGCCTGCCCCTCCATCCCGAGCGCCGCGGCCACCTGCTTGCCCAATTCCGGATGAATATTGTCCAGGTGCCCCAACATTCGCGTGCGAACCTTCGTCTCCTGGCACTTACCCAGTTCGAACGAGAACCCGCCGACGATGTGCTTCTGTTCCACCGGCGTCATCGAAATCCAGAACTGCCGCGCCTGCGTGTAATGGTCCGAGAAGCTCTCCGAACGAATGCGAAGCTTCTCCCCCGCCTCTTCCGCCGGGTAGCTGCTAAAGCCATTGATGGGATCTTCCCGCGGCTCACCACCGTCCAAACTGTTCGGCTGGTTGGCCACGCGACCTTTCGGCACATCCATCTGCATGTGCCCGTCACGCTGGAAGTTCGCCACCGGGCACTTCGCGGCATTGATGGGAATTTGGTGGAAGTTTGGGCTGCCCAACCGCGAAAGCTGCGTATCCAAGTACGAAAACAATCGCCCCTGCAGCAATGGGTCGTTCGAGAAGTCGATCCCCGGCACCAGGTGCGAGGGGCAGAACGCCACCTGCTCGGTCTCGGCAAAGAAGTTATCCACACGCCGATCAAGCACCATTCGCCCCAGCGGCGTCAGCGGCACAATCTCTTCGGGCACAATCTTCGTCGGGTCCAACACGTCGAAGTCGAACTTCTCAGCCTCCTTCTCAGTGAACGCTTGCACCGAAAGTTCCCACTCGGGGTAGTCGCCCGCTTCGATCGCCGCCCACAAGTCGCGGCGATGAAAGTCAGGGTCGGCCCCCGCAACTTTCACGGCCTCATCCCACACCAGCGAGAAGGTGCCCAGCTTGGGCCGCCAGTGAAATTTGACAAACTTCATTTCGCCCTTGCTGTTGATCATGCGGAAGGTATGCACCCCAAAACCTTCCATCATGCGAAACGACCGCGGGATCGCCCGATCGGACATCACCCACATCAGCATGTTCATGCTCTCAGGCGTCAGCGAGACAAAATCCCAGAAGCTGTCGTGGGCCGATTGTGCCTGCGGAAAGTCCCGATCGGGGGCCGGCTTCACACTGTGGATGAGGTCAGGAAATTTAATGGCGTCCTGAATGAAGAACACCGGGATATTATTTCCTACCAGGTCATAATTCCCCTCGCTGGTATAGAACTTCACAGCAAACCCGCGCACATCGCGGGCCGTATCTGGCGAGCCCTTACTTCCGGCCACGGTTGAAAACCGCACGAAAACCGGCGTCTTCACTGTCGGGTCATTTAAGAACGCCGCCGTCGTCAAGTCCGCATGAGTGTCGTAGCACTCGAAGTAACCATGCGCTCCGTACCCTCGTGCGTGAACTACGCGCTCCGGAATCCGCTCGTGATCGAAGTGCGTGATCTTCTCCCGCAGCACGAAGTCTTCCAACGCCTGCGGACCCCGCGGACCCACCGTCAAAGTGTTCTGGTCATCACTAACCGGAAGCCCCTGATCGGTCGTCAGTGGCTGACCACCCTCTCCCACCGTTTGATGAATTTCGCCACCTTCACCCACCGAAGTTCTATAGTGTTCCGATTTCTTAGCCATGGTCTTCATTTCCTCCTCGACGGCAGGCCTAAGCAATGGCCCACCGGAGATGCTGCGTGAACGGTTGTTGAGAAATTGAACTCCCGAAGCGAATCAGGATGTGTGCACGCATAGAAGCACATGCCATACCGAAACACTGCATCTTCACAACGGGCCATCTTTTGTGTGGGATTTCAAGCCAGAACGCCTGATGTACGGGACCCGCAATGGCTACTTGCTACCCGGCAATTGCGCAGCGGCGACCAGACTGGTTGCTCAACGACCGATTTTGGACCGACAACAGCGATCCACCAGACGCAGTGCGACATTTCATGTTCAGGAAAAGTAGTTTCTCATGTGACGAATGGAGTTTATCAGCTCGCAAACCAGATCTGTGCAGCCCTGGCACAACAGTTGCAAATTTCTGAACGAATCTGCAAAAGCTAGACGCTTCACTTCGGCGTCAATTCAATACAAATAGGTCTGGAAGGAGGTTTGTCATGAAAGCCGTCTGCTGGCACGGAAGAAACGATATTCGCGTCGATCAAGTACCAGATCCGAAGATCGAAGACCCACGAGATGCGATCATACAAATCACCGCCACTGGAATCTGTGGCTCCGACTTGCACCTTCTTGCCGGCGTGGCACCAGCCATGGAAGCCGGCGATGTCATCGGTCACGAACCCATGGGCGTTGTCGTAGAAACCGGAAGTGAAGTAAACAACCTACAAGCTGGCGATCGGGTCGTGGTCCCCTTCACCATCTCTTGTGGTTCCTGCTTCTTCTGCGATCGTGCCATGTACTCGCTCTGCGACAACGGCAACCGAAATGCAGACCAGGCCGCTGATCAAATGGGTCACTCGCCCACCGGCTTCTTTGGCTACACGCACATGATGGGTGGATACATGGGCGGACAAGCCGAATACCTTCGGGTACCCTTCGCCGACTTCGGACCAATCAAGGTTCACGACGGTCTATCAGACCCTGAGGTCCTGTTCCTTTCCGACATCTTCCCCACCGGCTACATGGCCGCGGAAAACTGCGACATTCAAGACGGCGAAACCGTGGCCGTGTGGGGCTGCGGACCCGTGGGACAGTTCGCGATTCAAAGCGCCTGGATGCTGGGCGCGAAAAGAGTCATCGCAATCGACCAGGTACCCGAGCGACTGGCCCTGGCCCGCGAACACGGACGAGCCGAAACCATCGACTTTTCCGAAGTCGACAGTGTGTACGAGGTCTTACAGGAGCTAACCCAAGGCCGAGGGCCCGACTGTTGCATCGATGCCGTCGGAGCGGAAAATCACACGGCCAATCTCGTGCAAGACGCTCTGTCCGACGCCAAGACCGCACTGCACCTCGGTAGTGATCGCCCTCACGTTCTGAACGAGATCATCCAGTGCTGCCGCAAGGGCGGTAAAGTCTCGGTCCCCGGGGTCTATTTCGGCAGCGTCTCACTTCAGTGGGGAGCCGCCATGAACAAGGGGCTGCAATTCAAAATGGGCCAGACCCACATGCATCGCTACCTCGAACCCCTGATGGATCGGATCGTCAATAAAGAGATCGACCCATCATTCGTCATCACTCACGTCGAGCCCCTCGACGCCGCTCCAGAATCCTACAAAAAATTCCGTGACAAGAGTGACGGCTGCATTAAGGTCGTGCTCAAACCTTAACAGCGGTCGGCTCGCCTGTGGGCCTACTATTCAACCGGAGCTTCAGACGCTTCCGGCTGCGTTGTGCCCTCGGCGGTCAGCACCGCCGGCGAATCGCCCTGTCGGGTCAACAAATACCCCACGATGAACCAACCGTCCTGGTCGTTCTTCATGTACGCCCCCGAGGGCCCCATGTAGCGACGCACGGCCTGATACTCTGGCAATTTGCTGGCGTCGAACTCCGACTCCCGCGGCACGGCCCCAGGCTCGTTACTTCCCAACATGTCGTTGAGCACCGTACCCAAGCCCGTCTCCGATTGCGGCATCTGCCCGGTTCGCATCAGCTCGTAGTTGGCCCGAAACTCTTCATCCAGTCGGGCGAAAACGATACCGAACCCGCCTGTGCCATCCACACGGTCTCGTTGTTCCAGCACCTGTTGGTAGTCCACCGTATCGCTCAACAGCCGGGCGTCATCATCCGCCTTGGCCAGAATCTTCTCAATAATCTCAGGGTGCGAAGCAATGAACAGGTTGCCGTACGCCACGCACACCGCGGCATTCGGCAGGGCTACGCCTTCGTCCATCTCATCGACTTCCAGGCTGCTCCCAAAGTCGGTCTCGAGCCCTTCAATTTGAATCTCGATCGGGGCCTCGGTGGCCTCCGGCTCGACCATCTCCCAAATCGTGTGATCGCGGAACTTGCGAATCTCGACCGTCTCGTCGACTTCCAGCGACTTCTTCACCCCGGCCAACAGCGAGGGCTCGTTCTTCGCCTCGATCGCAATCAAACGTCGCTGACTGGTCGGCGTAATCGGCAGTTCGTAGTCGGAAATGATCGTCACCCGCGTGCCCATGTGAACGAAGATCTCTTCTCGCAGGTCGACCTGAGGGCCATACGGATCTTCGATCAGGCTCTGCTTCACGTCTTCCCACAGGCCTTCATCTTCTTCCCCTTCGCCAAACAGGTTGTCGAACAAGGGGCCAAAGTTATCGAAGGCATTGAGGATATCGATATGGAACGACGAGTAGGTCGCCACGTCGATGGGCACCCACACCTGCGGCTCTAACTTTCCGCCATCGGGGAACGAAAGCATCTTCATCGACGATTCGTACGGCCCCGGGGCATACACCTTCGTGCGGTGCAACAGCTCGAACCCGTCGGAGTAGGCATTGATAAACCCGCCCGCACCTTGAATGGCCGTGAAGCCGGTCTTCTTCAGCGTGGCAATCATGGCGGCAGCCTGTTGCTGCTCTTCCGGCGGAGAGGCCACTTGCACCGCATCGACCAGGGCGAACGGATCGACAAACCAGCGGATATGCGGCACCAAGTCGCCGGCCGCTTCTTTGCAGCTTGCCATGATGGCCGTGTAGGGCTTCACGGTCGACAGTGTATCCTTGTGCTCGCCTTTGAAGCGAGCCAGCACGCTGGCCAGGGTGTCGCCGCTGTCGGCCACGGCCAACACCGCGTCGTGCAACGCATAGGCGGCCGTGCCACGCTCGCCGGTTTCTTCATCCGGCGGCAGTTCGTACAGCACGATCTCCACCCCATTCGCATCGCGGGTGCTGCGAGTCGCACCGCGTTCTTCCAGCTTCTTGCGAACGTCGGCCATCATCTTCTCGGCCGCGTCGATGTTGTCGGTCACGTCGGCCAGCATCACCAGCGAGGGTTCACCCCGGCCGCCGTAGATGTAACCCAGCGAAACTTCCCCGGTGGGCAGGTCCTTCAGCTCGTCCATCGAAAGGCCCAACCGCTTCTCGGTGACCGAGAAACGCTCGTCGAGCTGTCGGCGGAGATCGTCGGCAAACGGCTCCATCACCGGGTCGGTCATCAGCTCCGAAAGTTGGGTTTTATTCCAGCTTTCGCGCAGTTCCGGCCAGTCGCCTACCGAAACGTAGGCCGTGGTCGAGGAGGGAAATAACTGGTCACTCGGGCGAGCCCCCAGGGCCACAACTGGCACCACGGCTAGCAACGCCGCCACCGCAACGATTCGACTGGAAAAACAAGTCAAAGGATCCGCCCTCCTCCGGTATTATCTAAACTGCCGCTTATTCTTCGTCGGGCTATCCCGCTCTCGAAGTTTAGCCGTTGCTCGCCTTGAGCTCTAGTTGCACAAGATAGAGAACTTTTAACGCCAAGCGCACCCGGGCCGCATCTGTTTCTCGCCGGCTTGCCGCCGCCAGCAATCGAGTGCCAGCCTTCGCCCTCGAGCACTCCCTCCCTTTGGGGAACTCCCCTGAAGACTACCTCGCTCAGCCCCGAACTTGTCGTTTTTCTGATCGAACCGCCCGAACTCTTAGCCGCGGTCGACCAAACCCGGCCCCGTGTGGCACAATCGCCCCTATGAAAGACTTCACCGCTGAGAGCCTCTGCCACGACCCCATCCACGGATATATGCCCTTCGTAGCCGCCGGCGAACTGCCCGGCGACGAAGTGGTCGAGCAACACATCATCGACCACCCGTGGGTCCAGCGGTTACGCCAAATCCACCAACTGCAAACTGCCTGGTGGGTCTTCCCCACCGCCGAGCACACTCGCTTCCAGCACGTACTCGGCGTCATGCAGCTCGCATCCCGCGCCGTCGACGCCCTGTATGACAGTCTCAACGAAGTCTGCGACGACGTGCCGAGCCGCCCCTACGTCGAAACACTCATGCGGATGGCCGCCCTGCTGCACGACGTAGGCCACGGCCCCTTTGGTCACTTCTTCGATCAGCACTTCCTCGCCGACTACGGTCTCACTCACGAGACACTCGGCTGCACCATCATCGAACAAGAACTCGGCCACCTGCTCCGCGGGCTCCGCCGCAACCCGCATGGAGAGATCCCCGCAGGCGAAACCCTCGCCCCCTGGCAAGTGGCCTTCCTCATTCGCCGCCCCCAAGGCCCCGACGACGGACCCCGCTGGCTGCAAATGCTTCGCAGCCTCTTCAGCGGGCTGTACACCGTCGACAACATGGACTTCGTCCTCCGCGACGCCTACATGACCGGCTACAGCGCCCGCGCGTTCGATCTCGAACGACTACTCCACTACAGCTTCTTCACCGAGCGCGGTCTCACCATCCACGAACGCGGCCTCCACGCCCTGGTCCGCTTCATCGAAGTGCGGGCCGCCCTCTTCCAGTCCATCTACTTCCACCGCGCAGTCCGGGCCATCGACCTTACGCTGCAAGAACTGTTCGAAGGTAGCAAAGCGTTCCTCTTCCCCGGCAACCCGCTCGAGCATCTCGACGAGTACCTCCGCTTCACCGAATGGACGCTGCTCAACGACGTGGCCCGCTGGTCGCAAAGCGATAACCCAGAGAAACAAGAATGGGGCAGGCGCTGGGAAGCCCTGCTGCGTCGCGACCTCCGCTGGCAGATGGTTTGCGAACGCACGCGATACTTCGAACCGCACGAGACCGAACACGGCAGCATCTTCAGCAACGAGACGTTCGTCATCGCCGCCATCCGCGAGCAACTCCCCGCGCCCCTGAAGTCCCTTCCCCTACGGGTCGATCTCCCCCGCCACATCCACCGCCCCGGCACCCGCGGCCCCGTGCCCGGCCAAAACTTCTACTACGACGCCACCACCGGCGACGTAAAAAACCTCACCGACAACACCCTCTTCAACAACCTCCCCCTCAGCTACCGCATCTGCCGCGTCTACGCCGAAACAACCAACCACAACCCCCAAATCGCCGCATCCCTAGACAAGCTACTAAAACCAGGTGGGGTTGATGATGTGACGAATATGTAGATTTGCCGAGGAGCAATCCGTGTAAGGCAAAGCAATGAAGATAGGGTACCACCGGATCTCGATCCGGTGCGGCGCAGCCGCCAGAGGCCTTATTTCACTTAGACAGATTCTGAAATCCCTGACTCTTGCAAGCCTCTCTCATTATTCGCAGGAGAGTCATCCAAGCCTCCAGAAGTCCGTTGTAGGCTGCCCTCGCTCAGCTACTTGAAGAATCGTGCTGAGAACCTGATCCATACCGCAGCAACAATACTACCAACGAGAACACTTGCTCCGATTCCAACAAAGAACACCCAACCTGCTGTCTGCGGGACCAGCGGAACCAGTAGCCACCAAGTGATCCACGCACTTAATGCGGCTGCAATGCCAGTTATCAGGGTGGTTGCACTACCAAACAGAAAGAGCATTGTTGGTTTTGATGACAACTTGTATATCACACGCCGGCATGCATCCGACGCCATCGGTTCAATCAGGCTCGCAAACAAGCACACCAATAACAACGGGCCAAGGTTCCAGCCAAAGCTGTACATAAACCACGATGGAGCAACAAAGCGATCGCCTGGCAACAATAACATGCATGTAATACTGGAGATCGCCAACGGGACGTAAGTACCAAGCAAGAAAGTCAAGACACTCCGACTAGATACAGCCAAGTGTTCGGTTTTCTCGGGCGACATTTACTCGGGTGCCACTGGCTAACTGCCAGTGCTCTCAACGGGTTCAGCGCAATTGCTTGCTATCCCGGAGCATTTACAACCTCGGTCCAGCCCAAACAACACACTTAGAGCCACACGCTCTACACATACGGCGGCCTGCGAATAGCCCACAGCACCAGACCACATCCGATCACGGATAGCGGAAGACACACAAAAACAGCGACGGAATCGTAACCATCACCACGCGTTCCCGCCTGCTCGCTTCTTGCCAACACACCGGTACTGCCGACCACCACAAGAAGTGCTCCAAACCAACATGCCGCGTGGGTCAGTATTTTCCGTGTCCGCTCACTCATCCCGCCATTCTAACACGACGGTCGTGTTACCATGCTGAAAGTCATCTGCTTCTGAAAGTTGTTTACCACGGCACACTTAGCAAATGCCTCCCGAAAAGCAACGCGACGTCCAATTCGGTAAACGCTACCTTCTCCGGAATATCAAGAAGCTGATTCCGCTGGCGCTAAGCTTTTTGCCGCTGTGGTACGGAATGAAACAAGACAAGCTCGATTCGCCCAGTTTATGGCTGGGCATCACCATGTTTGTCATCAGCATAGGCTATTGGATGTGGAGCGATAAAAAGCTCTTCGCAAAATACCATTGCCCCCAATGTGGAAGGCATCTACCCGAGCCAACTATCAAGCACCGCAGCGAGGGCGATCCACTAACCTACATCTGTCCGACGTGCAACATCGAGTGGGACACCATGCTCCGGGAGTGAATTACTGCGGCACCGACAGGCTTCAAAGATGCCGGGGGGAATTCCCCTTCTTTTTTTACGTCTTGCCGTTGTGTCGTCGTGGTTAATCTCTCCTTCAACCTCGCAACCGGGTACCACCGGATCTCGATCCGGTGCGGCGCAGCCGCCAGAGGTGTTCGAGTATACTGCACATCGTCATCAGCGATCCGTTCCCAAATACAACCCTCTACCACCAAAACCCGCAGTGAAACGCCCGTTCGACCCACTACGCCTCGTCCAACTGCTGGCCTGCATTCTTCTGTGCCAGACCACGCTGGTTGTCGTGCTCGGGTTTCGCGATTACTTTCCGCCTAACTTTCGCTCCGATTTCCTCCTCGGGCGGAAAGACTATTTCTTCGGGCCATATCAATGGGCGTTCTATGCCCACATTCTCTCCGGCCCCTTCGCCCTGGTCGCTGGCTTGGTACTAATCAGTGAGGCATTCCGCCTCCGCTTCCCGGCATGGCATCGACGCTTGGGGCGAGCACAGATTCTGTGCGTCATCTTCCTGGTGGCACCAAGTGGGCTGTGGATGGCATTCTACGCGGCCACAGGTTTCGTAGCCGGCAGCGGATTTGCCGCCCTGGCGATCGCCACCGCAATTTGTGGCCTGAAAGGCTGGCAGTCCGCGGTTCAGAGGCGATTCGACCAACATCGCCTGTGGATGTTGCGCTGCTTCGCCCTGCTCTGTTCTGCCGTCGTCCTGCGATTGATCGGTGGCCTCTCCGAGACACTCACCATCGCAGGAACCTACCCCTTCGCAGCCTGGCTGAGCTGGCTCTTGCCCCTGATCTTTATCGAGTCGCTGCGACTTACTCCGCGACTTCCTCTCCTCCGTCGATCGTAATCAAGCCCGTGAGTTCTGCCGGGGCCATGTCCAGATAAAGCGTTTTAACGCTCCCATCCAGAAACAACACATTGACAATGCCAGGGTGATTCAACTGAGAGTCCGAATCGATCAGCAGCACCTCTTCTTCGCTGATGTCATTCGGCGACATCCAATGAACCGCCCGATCGGACGGTGCATCGATCACGCCAATGGTATTTCCCAAACCGTCGGCGATCCCATCCAAAGCTCGTGGAACTTCCCCCGCGAAAGCACAATCGGGCCCAACGATCCCAAGAAACGTCGTCAGCCCTTCCTCATCCTTGGCACTGGGGCACAAGTACTCTTCCACAACCATCGCCCGAGCTTCAGCATTCGCCGGATCGTCCCATGGTTTCGACAAGTCGATCATCTTGTGAACGTCAGCAGTCATATGACTGCGATATGGCAATATCAAGGTCCGCCAGCTATGCAGCCGATTCCCCTCCGCATCCACCGTATAAGCCGGAGGGAGTGTGCCCTGATCAACCTGATAGTAATGAAGGGCAAGCCCGATTTGCTTAAGTTGAGACTGGCACATCATACGGTAAGCTGCTTCCCTCGACCCTGGCCTGACCGCCGGCAGGAGTAATGCGATCAATAGAAGCACCGCGATGATGGATAAAACCACACCGCGCCAAGAAAAGAACCACGACTGACCTTCCGTAGGCGTCTCCGTCAGCTTCGCATCCTCAAGTGGCACGTTCGACAAAGCACATCCTCCCATCAAAGAAAGTCCGCAAGCATCATAACACGGCAATGCAAGAAAGGGTTCCACGGGTCATCCCGATACTCACAAGCTACTCAGCAATCGACTGCAAAACTGAGCACGCTCCCCTCCGACCTCCGACCTCCTCCCTCCTTACGTCGTGCCGTTGTGTCGTCGTGGTAAATCTCCCTTTAATCTCACAACAAATCCTCATTCCCGCCGACAACTCTCCTCACCAACCACTAGCAGGGTGGCCGAAAACTTCGGTTGAGATTCGACCTCGGCTTCGGCATTATTGTGCGTGGGTTCTGCGTCTTGCCTGGGGACGTGGAGTCGCGATGGTGGGGTTGTCTGCGGGGGTCGACGGACCTTCGTCGCAGCTCTGGTGGAGTGGGTTCGAAGTGACGGAGGCTTTGCGAGATTGGAACTGCGGCCGGAGGCGTCTATGTGCGTTCATACGACCCAAGCCGCAGCGAAGACATCTGCGAGATAATCGCAGGTGGATGCCCGACCCGATGGCCAGGCGATCTGGCGAGGGGATCGATCGCAAAGCAGCGTGCCGCCACCGACGGCCCATGACACAGCCATCCCGATCATTCCCAACCGCGTGAGTGGTTCCGGAACCACATTTTTTCTGCTGAGATGAGGTAAACCGAAAAACAGAAACCAATCCAAATCCAAAACAAGCCAAACCAAACGGGTACCACCGGATCTCGATCCGGTGCGGCGCAGCCGCCAGAGGTTTTTGGTGGGCGTTCATGACGTTTCGGATTGGTCCCGCTACGGACTCAACCCAAGTTTCGTTAATGTGGGGTAACTTCAAGGGCACGAGGTCTCTCGGAAAACAATCCATTGCTCGAAAACCTCTTGAGGCTGCGCCTCCGGAGGATCGAGATCCAGGGCCACCCATATTCGATACTACAGGTGCCGCTACATGCGCGCTCCTAGTGGGTCCGTCGCCGCGCGGGTAAGATAGCGTTTTCCGGCTAATGTCAGGCACGGGGGTGCCTGACCTACGGTGTCAGTTGGTTCTTTCTCTTGTGGGATCCGATGTCTCTGGACACTTACCAAAACCCGCTGATTGAGCGGTATGCGTCGAAGGCGATGAGTGGGCTGTGGAGCCCGCAGCGGAAGTTCAGCACTTGGCGGCGATGCTGGGTCGCCCTGGCCGAGGCCGAGTCGGAGATGGGCCTGCGGGTTTCGTCGCAACAGGTCGAACTGCTGAAGAAGCATATCGACGACATCGACTTCGATGCGGCCCGCGAGTACGAGCGGAAGCTGCGGCACGACGTAATGGCCCACGTGCACGCCTACGGCGATGCCTGCCCCGCAGCGCGCGACATCATCCACTGGGGTGCCACAAGCTGCTTCGTCACCGACAATACCGACCTGCTGCTGCTCCGCGATGCCCTCGGCCTGGTTCGCGATCGCCTGGTTCGGGTGATCGACCGCCTGGCCACGTTCGCCGTGGAGTATCGCGATCTGCCGACGCTGGCCTACACGCACATGCAGCCGGCCCAACCCACCACGGTCGGCCGCAGAGCCTGCCTGTGGGCGTACGACCTGGTGTTGGACCTCGAAGAAATCGAACATCGCCTGGCCACCCTTCGCGCCCGCAGCACGATGGGCACCACCGGCACGCAGGCCAGCTTCCTCGAACTCTTCGGCGGCGACCACGACAAGGTGCGGCAGTTGACCGAGAAGGTCGCCACAAAGTTGGGCTTCAAGTCCACCCTCGCCGTCACCGGTCAGACGTACCCCCGGAAGATCGACTCGCAGGTGCTCGACGCCCTCTCCGGCATCGCCCAAAGCGCCCACAAGGCGGCCAACGACCTGCGACTGCTACAAGCGAACAAAGAAATCGAAGAGCCGTTCGAGAAGCACCAGATCGGCTCTTCAGCCATGGCCTATAAACGAAACCCGATGCGAAGCGAACGCATCTGTGCGTTGGCCCGCTTCGTAACCAGCCTGCAAAGCAGCGCCGCCCAAACGGCCGCCACCCAGTGGATGGAACGTACGCTGGACGATAGCGCGAATCGCCGACTCACGCTGCCGCAGGGCTTTCTGGCCATCGACGCCATTTTGCTGCTGTACAACAACGTGGCCGACGGCCTGGTGGTTTATCCCCAGGTCATCGCCAAACGCTTGAACGCCGAATTGCCGTTCATGGCCACCGAAACCATCCTCATGGAAGCCGTCACCCGCGGCGGCGATCGCCAGGAACTGCATGAACGCATCCGCCAACACAGCCAGGCCGCCGCAGCCGTCGTAAAACAAGAAGGCGGCGACAACGACCTGCTCGAACGATTAGCCGAAGACGAAGCCTTCGCCGGCATCGACTTGCAAGCCGCCCTCGACCCGATCAAGTTCGTCGGACGCTCGCCCCAGCAAGTCGACGAGTTTATCGCCAACGTGGTGAGCCCCATTCGCGAGCGCTACAGCGAAGCATTGAGCAGCGACGACAACGAAGACTTAAGGGTCTAGCCTGCTGCGGTCAGGCGTGAATTATTCAAGGTGCAATGACAACCGATGAGCCGTGACCGCGAAAAAGCCCGCAGGTTAGCGCGAGAGTTCAACTCCCGGGGCGACGCCACCGGCTGGTTCGAGCAGCTCTACACCGAGGCCGCCGGCAACGAAGCCGAAGTACCCTGGGCCGACATGCTGCCGAATTCCACTCTGGTCGCATGGCTCAATCGCGCAGACCTAACCACCGCCGGCAAGCATGCCCTGGTGATCGGCTGTGGCCTGGGCGACGACGCCGAAGAACTGCATCGCCGCGGCTTCAAAGTTCGAGCCTTCGACATCTCCCCAACCGCGGTCGACTGGTGCCAGCAACGATTCGCCGACTCTCCGGTCGACTACCTGGTGGCCGACCTTCTCAACCCACCGGCACCTTGGCGGCAGGCGTTCGACTTCATCTTCGAAGCCAACACCCTGCAGGCCCTGCCCGAAGACCTCCGAGCTGTCGCCATGACAAACCTGGCCAGTTTCCTCGCCCCCGGCGGAGCACTGCTCGTCATCGCCCGCGGCCGCGAACCCAATGAGCCCCTCGCAGAAGTCCCCTGGCCACTAACCCGCCAGGAGATGGAAACCTTCACCCGCGCCGAGCTGATTGAAGAACAGTTCGAAGAGTTCCTCGACGACGAAGACCCGCCTACGCGAAGATTTCTGGCGGTCTATCGAGCAGTGCAGAATGCCTCCGGATGAAGCGGCTCAAGCGGTCGGTGCTTTGGGAGCACCTATCTTTTGAAGCTTGAACGCCACCGAGCATGGTCGGGAATGGTTCTGTCGAATGCTTTCGTCATCTGAAGTCAGATGATACCGATCTTCGCTGATTCTCGGCTCATCAAATTCCGAGACGTCGAACCCCGAGGCCTTGAACGCTTTCCAATAATCAGAGAGCGGTCGATGGAACCAGATGAACTCCGACTGAAAATGCGACCAAGGAGGGTCGACGTATTTCCGTTGTTCAAAGTACGGAAATCGCCAGTCATAGCGCACACCGTCCCCATCGCGAGACGCAATGGAACCTCCCTGCGGAAAGCAGGGGTGCGAAAAGATGAGGACCGCGATCCCACCCGTTTTCAGCACGCGCTGAAACGCTTCCAACGATTCGGTGAGGTGCGGCGTATCCATCAACACGTAGTTCGAGAGCAGGATGTCGATCGATGCATCATTTACCGTCTTCAAGCTGTTACAGGAATCCACTCGAAAGTCGATCGAAGAAGACTTCGCACGAGCAACGTCGATCATCTTCTCGGAGAAGTCGATCGCAATGACGTTGGCTCCGCGGGCCTCGAGATACCGTGCGAGGTAGCCCGTGCCGCACCCGGCGTCGAGCACCGTACGGCCCGCTACGTCGCCAGCGAACTCCCACAGAATTGGATCGGAATTCAAGATACGATTGCGGTCGCCTTCATCTCCAACCTGGCGATCCCAATCTTCTGCCACACGGTTCCAAAAAGCTTTCGTCTCTTCCGTGTGGTCGAAGCCCATCTCAACACTCACGAAAAGGTCGGTCCGGCCCCCGAACTACGAGGGTACCAGAAGTCATTTCGAATCGAGCAAGAACCGTGCAGAGCAAATAACGAGCTGCTAAATCCGGTCCAACCGGCGACTGGCACGTTTCGGGCGGCTACATTCTTGGCACACCCCAGAGATGATCAACCGGTGCCCCAGCACGCGGAAATGGTGCTGGCGACCGACCGCGTCACGGATTTCGTTCAGTTCGTCGCTATGGAATTCGATCAGCTTATCGCACTTCTGGCAGTGTAAGTGGTCGTGCTGAGGGTAGCCGTAATCGTGCTCGTAGACGGCCCGCCCGTTGAGCGACATTTTGCGCAGCAGCCCGGCCTCGACCAGGGCAGCCAGGGCCCGGTAGACGGTCGGCCGGCTGACTTTCACCCCCTGGGTGTTGCCTTGCAGGCGGCCGAGCAATTCCTCGGCATCGAAATGGTCGTGGCTGCGGAACACCTCTTCGACGATGAACTTCCGCTCCTGCGTCACCCGCATGCCGCGGCTTTGCAGGAACTCCTCGAATCGTTCGAGCGGAGTGAGGGCAACCTGAACAGAGCCCAAGGCGAATTCGTCGGACTCAGTAGACGTAGTGTGATCCGTTTCGGCCATGATTCTCGATGGAGCGAATGTCAGCGGCTTCATACCGCGTGTGGAAGAGAACGCTTCCGCCAAGCGTCTACCACAATTCTAGGCATCGCCCACGAACACGCAAGGTACGCATCGCCCCAGGAGCAGGGTCAAACACGCACACCCCCCCGTCTGAAAAGCGGCAAAATCCGCTTAATCCCGGGGAAAACAACCCAATGTGCCCGTGCATTACTCTCGAGGGAAGACCTAGCTTCCATCGCTCACCACGCAGCCCACGAGTGCGACGAATGCCGCTGGGGAACTCGCCGGAGCTTTGGTGAACGCAAGCCGACGCTTAGGCCAGCTCGTTCAGCAAGTTCTCCACCGCACCGTCGAGCCGCTCTTGGGTCTCGTAGGTACCGTTAGCGATGGCATTGCGAATCTCAGCCACGCGGTCCAAACGCACCTCGGGAAGCTCGTTGGCCGCATCGATCAGTCGGGCGGCATCGGAGATTTGCAACTCGTCGCTTTGCGAAACCGGCGAGGCGGGCGACTGCGGCTGGGCGGCACGGTTGTTGTGCGGACCGCTGATGGCCTGGGTGTTGTGTACGTGCGAAGGGCCATTGATTTGCATGGTTCTTCCTCTCCATGGTCGTCGACTTTTGAAGCTCGACTCGCAACGTCACGCCGACGTCGCGGCAAGCAGGCCGACTGCTGTATTGGGACTTTAACGGTTGTACCTCAGCCAGAACCCTTGTCGATGCGAAACGAACCTGTTCCTGCGACGGAGGCCTGAAAAGACCAGCACCAGATGGGATGTGCGTCGCATGAACCTCGCGTCGTTTTGCCTTCCTCGTCGTTGGTTCTACTTGCTGATTTCTACACTACGCTCTCAACCGACACCGCAGTCCCTGTCAGACGATTGCCAACCTCGCGGGCACGGAAAGGATCGCAAGGTAGTCATCGTCCAACGTGCGGTATTGGTTTGAAACATTCCTCGAAGGTCTCGTTCGAATGCATTGTCGTCAAAGAATCGTTCCATAGCGCTTGCAACAGCCGTGCGTATCTCAACGGCTGCAGGCCGCAACAACACGTTGTTGCCAGCGCAATGTTTCGATTGAACAAATTGCTCCGCGCCGATTCGCTTCCTTGTGGCGCTCGATGTTGTCGGTCGACTTTGAAAACTCGGGACAACTTGGATCGCTGCGATTGTCGATCGTTGTGTCCCATTCGGACTCCATCCCCTTCAACAACCAACCGCTATACGTGGCCCCGTTGCCAATGGTTCGCCAGAGACGAAAAATCAACTTCGGAACACGCAAAGCCTGCCAGTCAGGCAACGCTTGCCGGCTGTTTGGGCAGGGCGGGATTGTAAGAGCCCCGCCCAACGTGGGCAATATCGTTCCTTGACACGACAGCAATGCTTTCGGCGGTGGCGATGCGTGTTTACCAACCGGAATAGACCGCAAATCACAAGCGATTAGAGACTTCTTGCTCAACCGTTCCTGAGCAGCGCCAGGCAGATTCTGGAAGATTCCCTGCGAAACTTTGTCGATGGCGCGTGGTTCTATGAATCAGGCACCCAGGCACTGATAATCGAGGCAACAGGGAAGCCCCCCTCTCCCGCAGGGTGATCGGGGGCTATCAGGCCGCAGTGGTTCAATCCACGGGTTCGTTCCACTGAAGGGGAAGGTACCGTTGCCTCGCTTTTCGCATCACGACGATTCGGATTGTCGTCCAATGCCCCGCCGCCGCGGATACTGGGCGGCCAATCGAACACGTTACTCTTCGCAGGAGATCGGAACTATGAGAAAGCACACGTGGGGTTTACTCGCGATGGCACTCGCCGTCGCACTCACCAGCACGGTCACCGCCGGCGACAAGGAAAAGAAGAAAGACAATAAGGGTGGCAAGCACGAAGCCTTGTTCTCCCAACTCGACAAGAACAACGATGGGTCGATCTCGAGCGACGAAGTGCCCGACGATCAGCGGCTCGTGCAGCACCTGTTCAAGAAGGGCGACACGGATTCCGACGGCGAACTCTCACGCGAAGAGTTCCTGGCCGCACTGAGCGGTAAGCGAGACAAACGCCCGTCCGAAAGCCCCAGCGGCGACCGCCCCTCACGCGGCGACCGTCCTTCACGTGGCGATGGCCCACCGCGAAGCTTTGGTCTCCTGGGCGCCATCGACCGTGATCACAACGGCGAACTCTCCAGCGAAGAGATCGCCGGTGCAGCCGAAGTGCTTAAGAAGTTCGATAAGGACGACGACGGTACCGTCTCTCGACGCGAGTTGTTCATTGCCATGGCTCCCCAACAAGGCGCTCGTCCCGGGGATCGCCGTCCCGAAGGTGGACGAAGTGATGCCCGTCGCCCCGATCCGGAAGCCATCGTGAAGCGGATCATGGAATCGGATGAAGACGGCGACGGCAAGCTCTCCAAGGAAGAAACGCCCGAGCGGATGGCCCGAGGCTTCGACCGCATGGACAGTGACAACGACGGTTATCTTTCCACCGAAGAGATCACGGTCGCCTTGAAGGCCATGTTCGAGCGTGGTCGCGAAGGACGCCCTGGAGGTCCCAGTGCCGAGCGTGGGGACGCTGGTCGTCCGAGCCCCGAATTCTTTGTTAAACGGATCATGGAGGCCGACGAAGATGGTGACGGTAAGATATCCAAAGACGAAGCCCCCGAGCGTCTTGCCCGAGGGTTCGACCGTATGGACAGTGATGATGATGGCTATCTGACTAGCGAAGAAATCACTGTCGCTGCAAAGGCGATGATCGATCGCGGATATCGTGCCGAACGACCTGATGGCGATCGACGCTTCGATCCCGAGGCCATGGTCGATCGTATGATGCAAGCCGACGAAGACGGCGACGGTAAGATTTCCAAGGACGAAGCGCCCGAGCGGATGCAACGTGTGTTCGATCGGTTCGACGCCGACAGCGACGGGTTTGTCACTCACGATGAGATCACCTCGCACATGAAAGCGATGGCGAAGAAGGCGAACAAAGACAAACCCAAGAAGGACCGCAAGAAGGGTTCGGACGGCGACAAGAAGAAAAAGAAGAGGAAACCCGACGCTGAATAGTGGACTTGGATAGTCGCTAGCTCACGCGATGTTGTGCCACGCCACCGCCGCCAGCGCAAGGTTCGCTGGCGGCGGGAACGTGCTAAACGCAAAGCGAATTACAACTTGAGGAGCGACGTGGGTGGCACTGCTGGCTCGCCCAGCAGTGAGAATCTTGCGGAACGCACTGCTAAGCGAGCTAGCAGTGGCACCCTCGAGCGAAACATCTTCTGAAACCGATTGTTCTAATATTCCAAGAGTTCAATCCAGCGGAATGAGGCGAACCCAATTCAGACAGGTGTTCGTCGATCTCTCCGGCAACCCAATCTCGATGGTCAAGCGACCGTCGAGCACCTGAACCTCGGCCGTCTTCTCGGCAAACCAGCCCGCCGGGGTTTCGCAGTCGCGGAGCAAGGGTTGCCCTTCGACGGTGACGTGCTGCCCGAACTGCTCGTGGTCGGAATCGCCAACACACACGGTCACCCGATAACGTCCCACAGGCACTTCGCACTCCCATTGGTCGTGCCCCCGCGTGAAGATAAACGTGACTCGCC